ATTTTATGCTTATTGCTGATTACTTATAAGATATGTACAAAAACAAACATGAGATACATAAGAGAAGGGTGTGGCTGAGATGACGATAGATGAAAATTTAGGAATAGTAATGGTGGCTGGTGTGGTCCTTGATCGATGTTTAACATAGATTGCCCAGCCTCGTACACTCATTTCTCATTACAGTCCCAACTTGGGCTCAATAGACCTATTAAAGAGAGCTGCCATCCTTTGCTTTTCCTTTTCATATGCACCGAAGCCGGTCATTTGTAGTTGACTATCAAAGTGTCGTTCTTTATGCTCTATATATTTTCCATTCTAATAACTTCTCATTCATTGTAAGTTACGAATTAGAATTGATGACACTCAACTTTGAGAACTACCTAATCTAATACTATACATTTTGAAATCAAGAACATTGCGATGAATGACAAACACGACTTTTCAACCGAAAGAAGGAATCCATCGCTATGGTACGCTTGATGGTTATATAAGTGAAATCTAAGAGATGGGCAGGCAAAGTAAATAAAAAAATGGTCCCAAAATTTCCAGAGCAACTTGAGTTTTTGAGCAGTGAAATTAGTTGGTGTAATTTCAATGTCCACTCCACAGCTATTTAATTTATGGATGGAAAGATAGATACTGTGTCATCAGTAAATCTATCAACCATGTTTAATCCTATTCGGAATGTCAATTAATGGAATTGTGGTCCTTTCTGCCAATTTACCTAACAAAAAGGAAACCAGCATCCGTACAGAAGGTTCAATAGTCACAACATGCGTGTTCGTTTATTTAAATGAATGACGATATTGCTGGTTGCATCCTTTGGCAAAATTGAGATAATATAAACTCAAATAAAATTATATAAAAACAAGTGTGTGTCGTTGTTAGAAGATTATCCACTGTTTTAAAAGAACTCTACTATGTGTACAGAAAATGGCTGCCGGAATTTATACAGATGATTTCCTGTTGGATAATGGCAAAAAAAAAAAAAAAAAACGAAGGACAGACCAACCAGATATCTGGTGAAATTCTGGCAGCAATTCTACTATGGTTTCAAGATTTGTATGTGAGAATCTGTTTATTAGAAATCGTCTAAAATTGTGGAAACTAAAAGTTTATTCAGAGTTCTTGCGTTTTCAGGGATGATGTCCCAAAGCTCTTCATGCACATCTTAATTCTAAGATCTAAAATTGAGTATGGTAAGGACCACAGGCCATATTTATTCCCATGCAGAATAACAGGGTGATAGAACAGATGTCATGTCATGTATCTGTTTCAATCAATCCCATAAATATTGGTTTGGAGGTTGTTCGTTTCAATATGTATGGAAGTTGTTGACATGGCACTTCTTCGTCTTTGAGAAGGTGATCATAAAAATTTGCACAAAATAGAAATTAAATAGAATATCTGCAGAGCATAAGGTTAAATGAAAACAGATGAGTCTTCTGTAACAACTACAAACCAAACATTGTTTCCAACAAATTCGAGTTCGAATGCATAAATATGTTTTCTTCATTCCATTTGGTCCAATTACTATCCTACTAGACATGTATTATTATAACTGCTGGCTGATTCACACTTGAGCAAAAGTTTCTCAAATTTTAGCCAGAAAGACAAGTTTGAAAACAACCTTTGCAAAATATAAGTTTCGTATTACAAGTATGACAAGTAAAAGGATCTTGAACATTATTTACATAAGTTCAAATCTGATGCAAGCTAGTTTTATTAAACGGCTCAGGGGACCCATAAGATGGTAATTTTTAAGCTAGTGAAATGCAGGCTTAGCAGCCACTATTCCCTTTTGAGGTAAAAAATCTACTAAATCCCCTAGAATGTTTCTCCGGGGTGGGGGTAGATGAAGAAGAAGAAGAGCCTGACATAGTGGGCCCATGTTTGGGATGCTTTGAACTGACTGGTGATCTCAATAGATTGTTTGCTTCAGTGTCCGATGAACTAAACATAGAATTGCGCTCTAGGGGAGACTCGGAGCCTGCCCTCTGTAAATTAATAGAAGAGCCTGTATCTATCTCATTTTGATCAGTATCTTGCAAATTTGAGCCACTTATGGTTGGTTCTTCCTCATTGAGGTCTTCACCCTTCCCACTCCTTCCATTAAGTGGTGAAGCTACTGATTCTGATTGAGGACGCAAAGTTTTCAACTGCTTACCCAGAAGAAATATGGTTTCTTGACACTCTGCTAATTTTTCTGCTGCAGCTGCCAACTCTTTCTCCTGGGAAGAGAAAAAGATATGTGCTTATTGGATTTGACTATTCTAGTTAAACAAAGGTTCGAGGATCATTCGTAGAAACAAAAAATTGATAGACGTGTTAGATACATTCCAACAAGTATACTACATTCACCATTTAGGAAGACTGATATTGTTGTATAAATGGTAAACTGAGGGAATGAAAGGCTTCCAAGGTATAAGGCTTAATTGAAGTTCATATAAAATGGATGTCTTCAAAAACGTCAAATTAGGTTTTCTCGAGGAATTTATTCCTCAAGCAAATCCCCAACCCAAAATGATATAAAACAATTCCATGCCTTCTTTATTTTTGTTCAATTCAATTGAAACCTTCAATTGTTTAGAGAAATGGCATTAATTTATTTCGAAAATAATGTTGTTAACTCCACATGCATGAATCTTTGTCCACAGCGTACACCCTCTACGGAAGGTTTCAAGAAAAACCATTGATCTGAAAAAACCAATGGCAACAAAAATCAGGTTTAGAAAAGAAATCAAGTCTTTGATATTTACGAGATACAAACCAAAGACGAAGCTGACACGGAAGTGCAGAGAATAGGAACAGAGTTTTGTGGTTAAAAGTTCGTAATAATTTTGCTCGTACTATGTATGTATCGTAAGAGCATTGTCAAAAAACTCTCTATATACAAGATGCTCTATTTTTTAGAGAGCCAATGCTTAAAAATAAGCTTCAAAAAACTCTATTTTAACTTTTTTAAAATAGAGACTGAGTTTTGCTCTCCATATTTGTAGTGCCATACTTACTACTCTATTTTTACTTTATAATGATTGCATTTAATAAGATATTCCAATACTCTACTTCTCATATTATTCAAATTGATCAGTCATTGACAAATAAATATGTTAAATAAAAGATGATGAGAAATCAACAAATGTTTCTTGACAAAAGCAAAATAAAGAAACAAAATGGAGAGCATTGCTGGAGTATATAAAAATTTAACTATTTAAATTTAAAGATACTCTATTATATATAAGATGCTCTTTATAAATAGAGAGTCTCTTGGATATACTATAAAGCAACATTTCTCATGTGAAGCTTTGAGGGCAAAACTTTATACATTAAGATTGTATTGACTATAGATAATTACTTAAATGATGAAAATGCAAGATGGTTTGCGAGAGTCACCTGGTTAGTCTTGGCACCATTATCAGCAGTTGCACAATTCTCAATCCTGAAATATAATATAAAGACTTAACACGTCAGGAATTAGAAACAGATAAAACTTTAGTTGTATCACGATGTCATCTCAATATTGCAACAACACATTACATAGATAATCAGAGAGCCCTAAGAACAGCTACTAACCAAAACCGACAAGTCTGACAAACATGAAGAAGCCAATTTTTATGACACTTTTACCCAATTTAAGCCGATCAATTGCAGGTGTATAAATGTAATAGATGTTGTGCAATAGACCTTACTCCTCAGGAAAACACTGACAGCCTAAATGCTCTTCTAAACCTGGACAAGGTATGCAAAATTGTTTCTGACCATATAAATTGAGCCCTTGAAAGTCCAGTTCCAAACTATCAGTTTGAGAAAGTTTAGAAGAGCACGAGTGCAGGAAGCTAACATGGGTTAGGAAAAATTATTACTAACCTTTGCAGCTGCTCCTGGAGATCTTTACATCTGGTCAAGGCATCTTGATGATTTCTTTTCTCCTCCTGTAGCTCGTTATCAAGACTTTCTATTTTTCCATGGAGAAGATTTATTTCAGTTTGTAACTCCTCTGCCCGAGTTTCAAGTGATTTGTAGGACTCAGCCATGCATTTGAGCTGTGTCTCAGCCAAGCTATTGGACTTCTGAGCTGATGTTAATTGTGACTTCACCTCTGCAAGAAGCTGTTCTGTTTCAAGAAACTGAGACTTGGTGCTTTCCAAGCTTTCAGTACATGTAGCAAGATCAGTTGCCATATTATCCTTCTCCAACTTCAATTGTTCAAACTCCTCCAAAGAGCATTTCCACGAAGTAGCCGTCGAATCAGAGGTTGGAACAAGAATCCCATCATTGAGGAAGTCAGAATCAGAATTGGGGTCAGAAAAGTGAGCACATCCATTTGAATATCTTTCTCCAGGTAAGTCCACAACACCCTTGTTCTCTGGTAAGGCAATCTTGTCTATACAATATGGACTGCCTGTTTCAATTGCTGAATTTTTATATCCAAGTACATTAAAGTGAAGCTCGCTAGTTTTGCTTAATACATGAGAAAGATCAAGAACAAAATCAGTCAGATCTGTCCTCTTGTTTATAAATTCAGTATATTTGGCAGAGAACGTATCCAGTCTTTGGTTCACTCCATCGCCATCAGGAGATGTTCTCTGTAGGGCCTTCGACTCTTTATCAAGAATCATTACAAAGTTGTATATCTGAGAAATGGCAACTTCTAATTCTTGGTCAATGGTATTTGCAGTTTCAATACATGGTGTACCATCTCCAGACAATGACATCTCCTTTTCTACAGTTATCTCAGCATCCTCAGCACAAGTCTGGCTATTAACTACGCTGTCAGAAAGAGTTTCCTCCGCAACACAATTTACCGACTGGTGATGCAGAGTATCATGCATATCCTGTACAACATGTTTAATGTCCTGTAAAACTTTTTCCATGTCCTTCTCTGAAATGGACTCAAGTACCACCAAGATTCTTGATTTCAGATTCATAAAGATGGGTAGGTCAGTTTGCAGCTGAGCTTCTGAGTCACGATGCTCCGTAGAATGGGAATCTGTGCCAGAGGTGATTTCAGTTGAAGTTTCATGGTTCACAATCTCAGGTGCTGCATTGCCCTCATTAGCTGATACATCTGAAGTGGAAACTGCTTCACATGAAACATTATAAGCTAATTTCTCCATCTCCAGGAAGTCATCCATGAGGCCTAGATTATTTGCATTTTGAGATTTCTGTAAATCATTGACATTCTTTTCCTTCTTGAAATGAGAGAGATCAGACATTGATGATGTAGCCCATGATCCAGCACAGCTCACAGCATCATCATTTCCATTTTCAGACATGGTTGTGAAGCTTGGTGGATTACTAGTGTCTTGAATGTATAGATCTGCAATTGGAATCTGATCTTTTGGTTTTGCAGGACTTCTCTGCTCACCATTAACATGCAGTTCTGCTTCTAAACTTTGAAGCTTGCTGGCTGTCTTCGCACATATACTTCTAGAGCTCTGCAGTTCACTATTACGCTTTGCTAATGCTTCTTTTAACATCTTTGTTTCTTCTTCCATTGCTAATTGACGTTCTGTAAGAAGCTCATTCTCTTTCTGGAACTTTTGCATGTTGTCAAGCGAAAATTCAGGCATCGGGGACAAATGAGGAGTAGAAGGCTTTACTGGAGACCTTTTTAAACGAGATTCTCCATAATCCCTGCCCAAATTCTCAACTTCAAGCTTCATTTGGGCTAGTGCAGCAGGACCAGGCAATTTCTTACGAACAAGTCCTCGCAACCTTTGACACTCAGCTTCAAGCTTAGCAATTTTCTTTACTCCTTCTAGGTGCTGCTTGTTTGCTACTTCTGCTGACCGCACACTCATGTTCTTTTCCTC